GTGTGTGTGTGTGTGTGTGTGTGTGTGTGTGTGTGTGTGTGTGTGTGTGTGTGTGTGTGTGGTATGCAGCAGAAACCCCAACATCATTTTTAAATTTGAAACAAAGTGTTGTAGAGAGTAAAACAGAACAGAGTGAAATAAGACAACAGGACAGGACATGTTATGTGACGCAGTGAAGCAGGGGTTTGAGCTGTCGTCTCACAGTAGAAGGTTGTCGGTTCTCTTCCCACTCAGAGCCTTTCTGTTTGGAGCTCTTCACACTGTGATTTCTCTGGGTGCTCTGCGTAGGCAGTAACTGGTCCTTCCTTTAAATGAAAGTGTAAATGATGGTTTGTCTTGTTTATAAAGGTGATGATCTTGCGACCCGCCCAGGGTGTAACCTGCCTCCTGTGACCCCTGGTTCTGATCCATGATGCTGGGAATCCCTTCAGAATGCTCAGAAATGCTGTTTCTGAAGCTGATGTAGCAGCAGAACCTGGGGCAGGGGTCCCACTGTGTGTCTGTGAGGAGCCGTGACCGTCTGTGGTTCTGCTCGTGTCTTAGACCCACTCAACAGAAGTGACTCACTTATTGCTGCAGGAGGGGGAAGAGGTTCTGAACAGGCCCAGTAGCACCACCTTCTGACCAACACCTGCAGTCCAAACCCAAATCCTCTGGAGTTTCTACCTGTTTATTGTTTGTTATACGTTTTAGGATCATTTCTAGTATAAACACTTAGTCAGGACCAGAAGTCATTTTAGGGACCAAAGACTGGTCCTAATGGTGAAACATGGTGGGTTAGAGTTAGTTATGAACTGGGGCTGGTTAGGTTAGGTTTGGTTTTACTGGTAGTGACGATCTGGGCCTTGAGCTTTGGGGAGGAGGTACACTAGCATGACTGATAGGGAACTGGCAGGTTCCTCTCCTCTGGTTCTTTTCATGGACCACCAGGACCATAAATTCTGTCTGTTGGACCACCAGGACCATAAATTCTGCCTGTTGGACCACCAGGACCATAAATTATGTCTGTTGGACCACCAGGACCATATAAATTCTGCCTGTTGGACCACCAGGACCATAAATTATGTCTGTTGGACCACCAGTACCATATAAATTCTGTCTGTTGGACCACCAGGACCATATAAATTCTGTCTGTTGGACCACCAGGACCATATAAATTCTGTCTGTTGGACCACCAGGACCATAAATTCTGTCTGTTGGACCACCAGGACCATAAATTGTGTCTGTTGGACCATAAGGACCATAAATTATGTCTGTTGGACCACCAGGACCATGAAGGTTTGTACTATCTACTCTATGAAACTTTAGGCAGGGGTTTAAGAGTGGGTACCTGGGATCTGGTCACCTGTGGAGGTTGTAGTTGGGGGTGGTCTTGGTTGGGTATCCTTGTTGGGCAGCATGGACTGCGGGTCACTATCCCATGGTGGTACCAGGTGTGGGCCATCCTGATGGTAAGAGCCCCTTGGCAGGAGTTCTGACCATAACCCTACCATGTGTCAAACTCATGGCCCAGAGGCCAAATGTGGCCCCCCACAGCATTTTATGAGGCCTGCAAGACCTTCAAAGATGTATTTTCGTTTCAAAATAAGCTGCTTTAAAGCCAGCATTAACCATCAGCTACATTTCCCAGAATGCATGTTGATTATTTTACCAAGGAAATGACAGCATCCCACCATTAGGTGGAACTGCTTACCACTTACAAGTCGTAAATATAAACTGGAACGCCCCTCCAGTGGGAATTCCTTGTTGGAAAGTGGGAGTGTTCAGAATTTAAGACAACAGTAACTCATCAGTGAGTTAAACTCTCTTTTACTTTTAATAGTATTGCTGTATTATGTATTTCACATGTAGTCAGTCGTACACGTAGTACATTTCAGTGTTTATGATGAGTTGAAACGCTGTTTCTATGCAGGAAATACCAGATAGAGCTCAGTTACTGTTTGTTAGGGCATCTTAATAAAACTAAATATAACCTTAAAGCCCACAGTGTCCTGCTTCACCTTTGTGTAGTAAACTGCAGAAGACTTTGCAAAGCAAGCTTTTTAAACATTTGGACATTTGTAGTGAATAAAATCCTCAAATATTTCCACTGTTTCAGTGTTTCAAAGTTACATTTCACTGTAAATCCTGCTAATGATCCAGTGATGGTTTGCAGGATTTAGACTCTGCAGCACACTGGATTAGAACAACTGAATTATCTCATTAAGTTTAGCAGAAACTTTTTAATAACTTGTTTATTTAAACCAGACGGGTTCAATAGAGACCACCGCTGTGATCTAACATGAAACATGAAGTTTTCTGAAAAACAAAGTTCAGGTTTTTTCATATTTTTTAAACACATCTTGAAGTGTGAAGGAACAAAGCGAGTGATTGTCAGCCACTGGTTCTAAATTTATTGACATTTTTCTGTCACGAGCCGCTTCATTCAGGTTTAAACTGTGAATGAAAGCAACTTGTCCGCCTGCAGCCATCTGCCACCACGCTGCTGTCACCCACTCACTGCCTGAGATCGGGCTGCGTGGTTGACTGACTCAGCCTCTGCTCTGTCAAACTTAGAAAGCTGCTTTCACACAAATGACTAATCCATGTAGGATGAAGCTCTAATCTAGACCATTTAACTTAACGTCTGTCAAGAACATCTCATTCATCTAAGATTCCTGAACTATGGCAAGGTAAACTACATAAACTACTACAGTGGATCATAAAAACACAGTGAAACTGTTTAAAACAAGGCGGATGCAAAATTAAAAAAAATCTAACTTAAAACAGAGGTCTTCAACCCTGTTCCTCGTGACCCACTGTCCTTCATGTTGCAGCCGTTTCCCTGCTTCTCTGCACACCTGATTTAAATTAATCTACCTGCTCAGAATGTCAGAGTTTAGCAGGGAAACGTTAAAACAGGACAGTGGATCAACAGGAACAGGGTTGGAGACCTGTGCAGTAAAGCAAACTGTGAAAACATCCAAATACTGAAATTAACAGAAAAGAATAACATGACTGATTGGTGACATCACAAGTGTTGTATTTTTGACACTTTTTTACCACCCTACATTTGTAGGTTAATGAAAAAGTGAGTAAATGTCCTGCATTTTGAGTGTTTTTTTAAAAAGTACAGTAAATAAAAGACTTACAACAGGACTTTTCTTATAGCAAACAGCTATGATGAAAAATACACTGGGAGCAGGCCATGGTGGGCACAGGTATGTTCCTCTGCTAACATGCTAATAGCAGAGCTAATGTTCTGCTGAGCAGTTTAGCTTTTGCATCAACTAAACTGAGTTAGCAACAAACTTAAGCCTGGCTAGAATAATATCTGTTATTTACAAATCTTATAATACACATCACATTTAATATTGACTTCCACATGCAGAGCCTTGGACTCATGGTTTCAGTTTAGACAAAAGCAGAAACTTTAACATAAATTTTAAACAAACACTGAAGAATTTCTCAAGAAAAAACAAAATCCACACTCAAAACTATTGAAAAATGTCAGAAAAACTATTTTTATAAGATTTAGAAGATACAGATCCAAAGAGCCAAGGTTGGCAAGAGGGTTGTCTGAGGGAACCTCAGTTTTTTTCTTTTTAAGCTTAAAAAGTTCAACACCATCCAAGCCTTGATGTCATCAAGTCAATTTAGTAGAGGCTGGACGGAGCAAACATTATTTGTCTTTAGAAGCAGGTAAGTCAGGTAGAGATTAGTATAGGAATGGAAGGAGATGCCATGTTTTCTCAGATTAAACACCAAATTATAATAAAAATAGGAAAGGTCCAAGAATAGAGCCCTGAGGAACACCACAGGAACAATGTGCTAAATCAGACTAAAACTTTCAACATTAACACAGAAGCTTCCATCACTTAAGTTTAAATGGAACTGATCAAACACTTCATCAGTAATCCCAACCCAGTGTTCTAAACAAGAAATATAAAAACAACGATCAACAGTTTTAAAAGCTGTGGTTAAATCAAAAACTACGAGAATCACGAAGCAGCCAGAGTTATTAGCTGAGAAAACTATTACAAACATTTACGAAAGAAATTTCAGAGCTATCTAAATAAAAAAATAAGATTGGAAGACCTTCATGAAGGCATTTATTGAATGAAAAATCATTTTCTCCAAGATGTTTGAGAGAAAACATTTTGAGATTGGTCCACTGAAAATATTTCTCAGAATATATTGAGACACAATAATGGACATAATTAAATGAAGTTGAGACAAAATCTGAAATATTTCAGCTTTCTTCTGTCTGACAGGATATTTCTAAATAAATTTAACTGCAGATTTTCTTCCAGCTTTATTCCTGCCTGCAGATTTCTCAAAGAAAAAGAAAACAGTAAAACAAAAAGCTGCAACTAGTTCAGAACTTAAATCTCACTTTTATTTTACACAACAGATCTTAAACAAACAACATAATAAAAACCAGGCTTGATGTAAAAACATTTTCTGTGAGGTGAAGCAGCCGGCCAGCTGCTCTGAACCACTGGGGTCAAAGGTCACGTGATTGTGGTCACTGGGAAAGGACCAGATCAAATCCAGGTGATAGTCTGTGTTCAAACAATGGGGGGGTCCCAGGTCAAGGGTCAGGGCACGTCAGGAATCACACACTTCCTGTTTCGCAGCCGAACCATTTCCTTTCTTTCCTTCAGGAAGTTTCCGAAGGAGACGTTCTCTTTGCTCTCCTCAGTCGCTGAAAATCAAAACATTTTGTTTTTCAGGAAGTGAACAGATGTTTCACATACTGTTTGTCCACAACGCATCCAAACTCTTCCATCCTGTTTAGTCTAAGCTGCTCAAATATGGACAGAATTTTAATCATGATCTTATTTGTTGAGTTTGTAAGCATTAAATTTTTGGTACTTAAACACCAGCTTATCCATGCTAGTCACTAGCCTCTCYRAWGCTAACACCAGCTTATCCATGCTAGTCACTAGCCTCTAAAATGCCAAAAGCAGTTTATCCATGCTAGTCACTAGCCTCTACAATGCTAAGGCTAGCTTATCCATGCTAGTCACTAGCCTCTCCGCTGCTAACGCCAGCTTTTCCAGGCTAGTTGCTAGCCTCTCCGATACTAACGCCAGTTTATACATGCTAGTCTCTAGCCTCTCCAATGCTAAGGCTAGCTTATCCATGCCAGTCACTAGCCTCTCCGATACTAATGCCAGCTTATCCATGCTAGTCGCTACCTTCTCTGATGCTAATGCCAGCTTATCCATGCTAGTCGCTAGCCTCTCCGATACTAATGCCAGCTTATCCATGCTAGTCACTAGCCTCTCCGCTGCTAACGCCAGCTTTTCCAGGCTAGTTGCTAACCTCTCCGATACTAACGCCAGCTTATCCATGCCAGTCGCTAGCTTCTCCAATACTAATGCCAGCTTATCCATGCTAGTCACTAGCCTCTCTGATACTTATGCCAGCTTATCCATGCTAGTCGCTAGCCTCTCTGATGCTAATGCCAGCTTATCCATGCTAGTCGCTAGCCTCTCTGATGCTAACACNCCACTAACTGAGAGGCCGGTGCTGGCAAATGAGAAGGAGACTATTCATTTGTGTTAGCATCAGAGAGGCTAGCGGCTAGCTTGGGTAAGCTGGTGTCACTTATAGGTTTTTTGTTGAGAAATTTTTGTTTATTCAAAAAGGTGTGTGTATAATAAAGTGAGTAGCCTAGGCATGCTAGTTGCTAGCCTCTCTAGTGCTAACACCAGCTTCTCCATGCTAGTTGCTAGCCTCTCCAATGCTAACACCAGTTTATCCATGCTAGTTGCTAGCCTCTCTGATGCTAATGCCAGCTTATCCATGCTAGTCGCTAGCCTCTCTGATGCTAACACCAGCTTATCCATGCTAGTCGCTAGCCTCTCTGATGCTAATGCCAGCTTATCCATGCTAGTCGCTAGCCTCTCTGATGCTAACACAAATAAACAGTCGCCTTCTCATTTGCCAGCTCTGGCCTCTCAGTTATCGGTGCCAGCCTATCATTAATCAGATCAATAGCTGGTTTATGAAGAGATATAGCCTCCTGCTACAAGGATGTAGCAACTGCTGGTTGCACAGTAGTCTTAATTTTGACCATCATACCACTCCATACGTTACAATAAATACAATAAATGACCTGTTTTTAATGGTAGAATAATACAGTTTATTATACAGCTGATATTTATGATGAACTAAAACTGAGTCCTTCACAGAGAGGTGAGGGTTTGAGGAAAAACAAAACTCTAAACTTAAACAGAGATACTCCTTTGTTTAAAGAAATATACTTCTTTTAGTGGTAAGATTGTTTCATTCCAAGACGTAAAGAAACATAACGAATTATCCAGAGACCTCCAGCAGATGATTCTAACTTCAAGGTTAACACATTTTAGCAATTATTTTTTAAAACAAAACTTCCATCATCAGGTACTTAGTAACACAATTACAGAATTAAAACTAATGTTTATGTTGATAGAAGTTCACTTTGAAAATTTGATATTTTTGCTGAAAATTCGAAAACATGTTAAACATATTTAATGCTGTAATTCAACTAAACTAGAACAGATAAAAGTGAAGAAGTCCACTGAAGTTGTCAGTTTCTGTTTGTTTGTTTTCTCACCACTGTGGTCGATGTCGTCGGTGTCGCTGTCCACCTCCTCGTCCTCGCCGGGGTTGCTGCTCGTTACGATGAGCTCACTGGGTCCTGCCACGTCCACTTCCCCTGAAACAGGAAGCTGTTGAGCTGGTCCCAACAAGAAGTTGTGCTTCTACTGCAGCAGGAGGAGGAGGAGGAGTGTTTTTAATCTTTACCTGAGGCTGAAGGCGGGGTCATGTGCACAGCCCCCAGGTCTTTCCTGAGTCGCTCCATCTGCTCCTGCTGCTTCCTGCTCTGAGCCTCTGCCTGGTGAACAGGAAGTCACATCTGACACGGTTACTACGCCTAAAACTCTTCTCAAAGAGAGGCTGCATAAAGACAGATACAAACCCGAACAAAGAAAAATAAAAACTCACCAGCTGTCTGTGGAGTCGCTCATATTCAGGCCGATAATCCCTGAAGAGACCAAACGTTCAGTTACTGACCGACCTCTGACCTGAGAGTAAAACTGATCCAACAGCTCACCTCTCGTACTCCTTGGCGGCATCTTCCACCTGAGCGAACAGCTGATCCAGCCCACTTCCTGTCAC